ATACTCAAGTACAAATTCAAGGTAATTGAACTTGATAGCTTAATATACTAGTAGATTGACAAATAAAGATTTTTTGTGTTTAAATTAAAAGCTTATAAATGAAGATGGATTATTATAGCTACATGATGCCAAACAAGCTATTAGAATACAACTAAACTGAACGTCGATGCAAGTAGAGCTGAAAAATGTGGGTGATTTTGATAATGTTTGTATACCCACCCGAATGAATAAAATGCTATATGCTATTTCCTATATAAATGACACAGTCGGGATTGCTAAAACAACATTCATTGTACGGCACTATATAAACAGTCTAACCTATGCAAGTACACATGCATTAAATGCAATAGCTTAGTAACATTAAAGTTAGGTTTGTTTATGATTAAAAACTACAATTATTTTTTACACACAACTCTATACCAGACATAGACACTGGCCTACTGCTAACGCCGCCATAAATAAACTGGACTTATTATTATTCATCAGAGAAGGCCCCTGAATGGATCCCTGAGGAACCCCACTTGATATTAAAATATGTCTGCCTCACTTAATATTGAAACAAGAACTTAATGCTTGAACCTTTTAAATGGCTGTACACTTGAACAATTGTACAACCCAGTTTTATGGATCAATTGGATCTTTTTATCTATCATGTAATGAGTATTAGGTGTGTTACTATTGGCAGGTCAGTTATCAGTCATGTGGATTACTTGTGCACACATTTTACACTGTTCCAGAGTAATTGCACATGGAGTCATGTCGCCAAATCCTTCATGAGACTTCAGTGTAGCTCAGAACTGGACATTTTCCGCACTGTGCACTCAGGTGTTGGGCAGATTTGCATGCATACACAAGTCATTTGTTGAATAAGGAGGGAACAATGGACACATCCACATGAAACTGAAGTGACACATTGCGTGCAACGTGAATGCAATCATGAACAACAGTCCTGCTGTTCCCAACCACCTAGTGGAGTGATGACTCACTGGTGTTCTTTCCTTAGACATACACAGTTGAGGCAGTTTAGAAAAATATGGGGGTTTCTTAAAAACAAGGTCACTGATTTTTTGTTTTTTTTGTTTGGATGAATGCTTATGCAATCAAGCTGAGTTCATATTTGTTTTTTTCTTTCATGCGGGAAGCAGGCTGGCCTCAGGAGTAGGAGGACAAGTCTGGCTTAGGGGACATTTTTCTTTCCTCTTTTTTCTCGTTCAGCTCCGGTCACCCCTGAGCTTTGAGAAAACAACACTGCCAGGAACGATGGAGGCTGAGCTGTGATCTAACAACAGCTGACACACTGGTGGGGAGTAGCTGTGAACAACCACTATGCTTCTGCCGCTGATGCTATGGTGTCGGCTGCTGCTCCGGCTTCAGCCACTCCGCCAGCCGCAGCCACGTTCCCCCCATCCGGAAAGTGCCTCATTGTTTACAGATGCAGCAATGCGGAAAAGGAAAATATCTGCACTCTCCCAGGTTTAATTTCATCTCAGCCCATTTACCTATTGTTGCTCATCTGCCTCAGACCTGAGCACAGGAGTAATAGAACTCTGTCGCCCTCAGCTCAACACCTCTCTGCTGCTCATAGAAGGTGGCTAAGGCTGTCTGAGCAGCTACGGAGAGGCATTTATCAGTGTCAGACACACTGCACAGAGGACTCACTGCAACACAGTTGTCAGCATAATTTGGCTGCCTCATAATCTCCGACTCTGCAGCCCCGGGGATTATTCAACTTTTTACCTCTATTCAGTGGCAAGTAATATCTTTCTGTGTTTTGCTTCGGGGTGCAGGGGGCTATCTGAGCCCAGAGCAGGTCTGACTTTGTGTTTGAACTGTCTGGCCAGAGAGGAAATGACTGGAATTCATAGATGAGAAGGAGCAGTACAATTACAACTCAGTTTGATATGAGAATTTAAAATATTGCCAAGAGTTAATGGTTAGCATATTTACACTGAAACACCTGAGGGTAATCTGTGCGCTGCTGTTAACTGGACTCATATCCTCATGACTTTCTTTGTACGGAGCCTACATTTATAAATGTGTCTGTTTGTTTGTCAAAGCTTTGAGTTCAGTTGCTTAGGTGAGTCTAAAAATATTGTTGGCTGAGGGCAAATTATATTTTTTTTAAACGATTAATTGTAGTTTTAGACTTCAGAAATCAATGACACTGATGTTTTATTAACAATGTTGAATGTTGATGCAATGATGACTGCCCTCGCCATGTAACGTCCCAGGATATGTTTTCAACCTGGTGATCATACTTTTTAATCTCAGGTTCATTTTAAACCATGAGAATCTCGGACAGACATGTGGTTATTATCATAGAGGACACTACGTTATTAAATCATGATTGCAAATATCTGCAGAGCCTGAGCCGAGTAGATTTTGATCCATGCATTAACTTGACTACAGTGTGCCGGTTCAGAACATGTCATACTCTATATGGGTTGTCTTAAAGAGCTGTGAAAAATAAAATAATTTTGTGGGAATGGCCTAAAATCAGAACAGAGTTTAAGTACTAAGTATGAAGTAATTTAACAGCAGGTGGAAACACTATTCTCTCTGGTTGAAATTGCAGCCTATTGTCAGGGTGAATCGTGCAGTTAGAAGTGTGGTTTGTTATCTCAATGACCACATTTAATTAAAGGTCACTGTGACGACTCTGGTTTTGCTTCGGTTTAATACCTAATGCACACGTTTTTTTGTGCAATGTAGTATCTGAATAAAAAAAATCTTAATTTATCATAACTTGCACTAAGGCGACAGCATGTAAACATATATTTAGAGGTTGGTTATCATTAATAATGGGGACTGAGGTTCGAGTTTTATATATTGTACATTAGATCATTGATTAAAAAAAAGATTACAGTAAGTAGCTAATCCACAGTCTCAACTGATTTGCTCATACTTCTGTCTTTACTGTATGCAAGTGTTAGTAACATATGGAATTGTCTCTTCTGGGTTTTTAAGACATAAATTAACAAAAAGGTTGGACTGGGACAGCTGGTATTTTTGTGAGTGAGACTTGTAGCTTTTTTCCATTTAAATTACCTAAAGACTGAATGATATTAGAAATCTGATGTCAGATTATTCACGTAAAAACCATTGAAAACAAGTAGCTGTGTATTATCCCTCACTTCCTTTAGCTTCCTACTATAGGTGGATCTTGTTGAAGATAATTACCTGGAACTCCGCTGACCTCAAAATCCATGAAATAGTTAAAATATCCTCCACAAGCTGTTAGCACATGGGCATTTTCCGTTTCTCGCATAGGCAGAGCATGTTTGCAGTCACTGAGACAACTCAGTTGGCATGAGCCCGCACACGTCTTTGAAATTATTCCTGTGCTTCATGAAGGACAAAGATAACATTAATATTCTCTACGATCGGCTGAATGCAATTACAGACTTGATCTTAGAATGGACTGACAGTTAAATATGTGCTGGAGCTCCAATGATACAGATACACTGCAATGAATCTCATGAATTACATTTGTTCAAGTCCAATAAAAATAATAATAACTTTAAGCCAGTATATGTGAAGCAGTTTGTGTGATTATAGCATCTTTCAAATTCTTATTGTGTAACTTTTAGAACAATGGTGCACCCTCTGTGTGTTTTAGAGTGAGCAGATGAGGCCTGCCCGCGTGAAGATCTTAGCAGCCGCTCTTGGGACATGAACATTTCTGAAATAAGGCTGGGACACTGAACATGCAGTGCTTAAAACATTAACAGTAAAGTAGTAAAATCAATTTAAAGAGTCACAGGCTAGATTCTCATCTCCTTAGTCGAGAGGCTTGAAGCAACACTTTGGGGATGCTGGAGGCAGGCGCTTGACTCTCTGATCCCAGTATAAAGACTCCAGTCCAGCAAGATGAAATAAAATCAAAGACTTCTTCAGTATCTATGGTGCCTGAATGGCTCTTAATGGCCTTTATATCTACCACAGATGTATGTGTTAGACTGTGTGTGCAGGTCTGCTGATTTCCATAATATCTATCACATATAGATAGACCATGTGATAATATTCCCTTTAAATCATCTCAGAAACCCATTATATTCAAATGAAACCCTAACTAAAGACCCTCATACTTCTCCTGTCATCCTTTGAAATATAAATTGCATGCAGCCAGTGGACTGTCAAAGAAATCCATAAAGTTTTTACTTGCGTGTCTGTCATTGGTGTGTGAGGCATGTGTGGTCTGGCCAGTCCCAACCCAGAGAACTCAAAGTTCAGTCAGATTCAATTTTGACATTGTCTGTCATGGTCTTTTAAATTTGCAATTACTCAACCGACATCATAGAGTGACCTGAGAAACTGGAATGTGCACCACCACCTTAGAGCCACAGTCTTGGCAGGAAGACCTTAGAATGGCAGAATGTCAATAGTCAGATGGGGATACCGACTTCGCCAAAAAGCTGATATTTAACAGAGATGTATTCCTGCTACTTGGCTCAAGCTGTGAAGTAAACTTTAGCAACCCTCTGATAGTTGATCAATACCATAGACTCATTCATTACTTGGTCAGCTTCTTTGCATTGTGGCTTTCAAATCACATTAAAATGCTTTAACTTATTTTCTGCACAACACGCGTTCCGTCTAAGTTTGTCTGTGAGAACAGAGACTCTCCTAAGAGTCTCTTTATTGTCCAGCGCCTTCAGATACCGAAAGCCCTCCTCTTCACCCAGGATCGATAATTCTGAGCATGCAGGTGCATCGATTTCTATCAGTCTGCCTTGAAACATGGTTACCTCTTCGTGATGGAGGTCAGTTTTCTATAGTCACCATTTTACACTTGGATAACACCATGCCGAGGTCTGTTGATTTTACAGGATCTCAACCAATCAACTATTTTTGTTGAGTATACTTGGCAAGTATCCTACAAATGTGTCAAAGAAATCAGGAGGGTTGAGGACCAGTCTATAAGCTGGAAATAAATATCTGGCTCTACAGGGGTAAGCTCTACAGTGCGCTCATTATATAACCCTCCCCCAGGGCCTTACCTGAGCCGGGGTTGTGTTTAGCTGTATTGGAGGATGTGTGAGAGGTGGAGGTGGAGGACACCCTCTGGTCTGAACTCATGCTATCCTGCTGTGAGCTGGACTTTCTTGGCTTCTTGTCCGTCAGGTGCAGTGGCGAGCTCTTCTTGGGAGGCGACAGTGGTCGCCGTGGTCTGGCCGTGGTGTTGACCTTCAGCCAGGCTTGGGCTTTGTACTCCACAATCTCCCCGTAGTTAGCTCGCGTCACCCGGCACTCGTACAGCCCTTCGTCACCCTTGCTCACTCTGGAGATCTGCAGCTTGTGTGAGATGTCGTTGCCCTGGACCTTCACTGTCTGTTAGAGTAATTAAAAGAGACCACAGTGTCATAACATTGAACAGAACGATATGATTCCAGAAGGTTTCATGAGGAATCATAGTACTTTATTCTACAAAATGCTATGGGATTCTCATCCTGTCACATTTGGATACTAACACATTAAAAAGAAAGGTGGATTTGTGTATAGTAACCTATACAGGTATGGCAATGACTATCAGGGGTGAAAAATATATTTCCAGAGCAAGGTTTCTTGGCTTGAGGCAGAAGGTTCTCATCTGTTGGCAGTTATCATCTGCAGCTTTTCCCTCCATCCTGTGGGGCACGAGGGCTCTGAACTAACCTTTTTAAACTGGTGGCATTGGAGCAACAATCTTACACTCACTGGCCTTCAGCATTAAATCTAGAGGTGTCCAGGGGATACACAGTGAAAATCCATCAGAGTGCATTATTGTGATTCTGCAAAGCAACAAACATTATTTTATAAAAAAAAAAAAAAGTCTGATCCAGATAGTTGTGGGACTGTCTATTGGGTTGTTTGGCAGAGATAATTGAAAGTACTTCAGCTTTGAGATCAAACTGAATGTACATGATTGTTTCATCAATATAATGATAAACCTGAAATACTGTGTGCAATAGAATAATAGAAGCGCAATTCTCCACTATATATTGCAAGGTGTTCTATGGTTAATGTACAGTTCAGCCCAATACTGAGTTTTTTTTGTGATAGTCTAAGCCCACACACTGATTTGACTGTAAACATTATTTTTTACATGGGGACCCATGTATAGCCCCTATGTTCAGCAGCACACATCTTTCTAATTGATCAGAATGAGGCAGATGTTTGCACATTTTAAAATAAAATACTTTATTTGAGCTTAGACCTGATAACCTGCAAGTAACATGCATTGGATAACGTTTGTCATTGCAAATTAATATGATGATTTTAAAGGGACATGTACTTCCTTCTAACTCGGGTCCTATTTGTATCGTTATACCCATTATTCCAGTCAGTAATTATGATGTTGTAATCATGTTTATTCAGTTTAATTGCTGAGATATGACAATGTCAAACTGGTCATTTGATGTATGGCTGTATGTAAAATCCAGTGAGGTCATCCTAAAGAGGACTGTGTAGTTTGATGGGTGGTAAAGATGAAAGCTCCTCTGTGCGCAGCTTTGCATTTAAAGTGGCAGGGGAAAAAAAAGGGGCGAACGAGTTGCCTGGCCATGAATGCAGGCAGAGAACCACAGTGACAGTAATAATACACTGCCACTGATTTCAATGATTAGCTCCTTTCTTCCACTGAAGGTGTATTATTAGGGGAAATCAGTTGCCGTTGTGTTTGCTTGGAACGAGGCAACTGCCAACTTACGTCTTGGAAACACGTGTTTAGGCACTGGGCAGCAACCATATGTGCTCAAATAAGGGTCGAAAAAGATTTTGAGCTTGTACATGATCTTCACAATAACTCTGTACGAGATAAACGTTTGTAATATGTCAAATATAAGTACATGGAAAAAAAGAAAAAGTTAAATCTGAATGTGATTGGACAATGACAATGGTACTATTGTCTTCATTTCTGCACCTGGTACTGAAAGGCTCTTTTATGACCCAGTTGGGTTTTGTATACATTCACAGCACATAAATCATTTACCACTATTTTACTACCGAATCATCTTACATAATTACAGCTACCACCATGAAAATCTGCTACACCTTCAAGAACTGCAATGGTGATGAATGTAACGAAACCGTTTCTTCTTCTGACTGGATTCTGCTTCATGATTGGACTGTCAGTGTCCAATCAGATTCAATTGTTTGGCTCGTATTTTTCTGTCTTTCATATGTACACAGATGTTCACAAAACCTATTTTACAGTGTCTTTGTGTAACCCTCACAGATATTACTTTGTTACACATACACATGCAATTTCCAATTTATTTATAGCTTCACATTTGTTTTGTAACTGCAATCTTTGAAATTATTTGTGAACATCATTTCTCTCAAAGACCCTTTGACCCTATGTTGAGCCCAGAATGGGAATACAAAACGCTTTCCTCTACTTACACTTATTTTTGTCCCGTCATCATCAGGATCAGGTTCTGGTATCATCTCCATCTGGAACACAGAAACAGAACGCAAGAGAAAGAGAGTATTAGCAGAGTGATATTATCCTGCTGAGTGAAGCGGCTCTCAAACAGACACTCTGAGGACACAATCAAAGACGTATTTCATGCAGGTCTGGTGACGAAAATCCCTGAAAACCAACTACGAGATTACTATGACCACTTTGAGAAAAGGCATCATCAATCCAATGAGGGTTATAAATCTTTCATTCGTACACCGGCGCATAGTCTACACACTGAGTGACTGCGTTGCTACCGCTCTGCCTTAAAAAATAAATGCACAAAGACGTCACTCCTGCTCGAGTTTTTGATTTATTTTTAGATTCTTTAAGTGGTTCTGTGGAGAAATTAAACACGGCCTCCAAACGCTACGGCAAATTCAGAGGAAAGAAACTGGTTCAAACCAGCGTGATGTGTGACAAACTAACAGCTTCCTGAGAGAAATTATGCCGCAAAACCTCCATCAGTTGCCGCAGTAAAAATAATATTACTCATAAAAACTTATGACAAATAATAAAATGTCAGAAGGCCGGGAATAGCTTTTCAGTAAAAAAAAATCGGAACAAAAAAAAAAAGAAGCACAGAATACCATGCCTCCTGGGCCCACAAAATGCCCCTTTTTGAGCCCTGGTGGCATAATTCTAGCGCGGTGGCAAGCACTAAGCCTACAGCCTACGTTATGGACCGAGCATTGATTTTAGAGGCTATAATTTATTTATCCTACATCGGATGCCAAATGGACGTGTGCCCGGAAAAAAAAGTCTGCTGACTACAAAGCTGAAGAAGAGCAAGAGTGCGGCTGCAGAAAAGGGAGAGAGAGAGAGAGAGAGAAAGGAGGAGGAGGAGGAAGTTTCTCCAGAGGACATGGAAAACTCCACAGCTGAGACAAAAAAAACCAAGGGCAGGAGAGGAATAAGATGGCTACTTATGAGCATTTGCTGGGGAGAGCATTATTTCAAGTACTGTAATTACCTCGGAGGAACCGAGCGCTTTTCTCTGGAGGATGTTCAGCAGACAGGTGATTAATGAGCAGAATTAAGAGCCGTAACTTTTCCCTGTCTGCATGTATGCATGACTCCTACATCTTGGCTCCACAGATCGACCTGGCATTCTCTATTGTATCAAAGAGCCGTCCTTAGCGGCGAGGCAGGATTAATTGTCGTCGGACTGTTTCGAGCCATCAATTTCAGCCTTCTCTTCTATAAACTTCTCAGCCCGGCCTGGGTGTTTAGTCTGCATAGTCTGTCACCTGAGGGCAAGAGAGGCACTTCTGTGGTCTGCTCATGCATGTAGTGCCTTTTGCACTTTGGTCACTGTGAACAAAACAGTTGAACAGCCTCTTGCACATATCATCATTGAAAATTGTATTGGACTCCTAAAATGGCTTCTCATCGCATAGAGACTGAATTCTATTACTATCCAGCTTCCAGCACCAAAGTTGAATGGTTGTCATTTCTCTTATTATTTGAATTTCTTCTCTGACTTCTCTCAATGAAGTTAGACTAGCTCCTTTGATTAGACAATGAAAAAGTAGCTAAACCTGATAGCCAATCACGCTGGGATTTGGTACATTACAACAAGAAGGTCAGTTAAAGTGGAATAAGACTGTATTTATACTTTAAAGTCAGTGTAACATCATAGCCGGTTTTCTGTGTCTCTACTTCAGTGTGACTCATGCATTTTTCAACAAATTACAGCTATGAATAGTGTAAAAACCAAAGTATCCAACATGCCAATGGGACTGAACCAGACAAAAAAAACCAACATTTTTTAAAGCTTTGTTCCCAGTAGGAATTGGTCAGGTATGCACACTATTCTACGTGAGCTTTGTGAAGTTTAAGAAAATCTTGCAACACGAATGATGGTATTAGGGTTGCCTTGGCTTGTGCTTGGAGAGTAGTTATCAGCAGCAAAGGTCTCACAATACACTATACAGTATAGATTTTTGAGCTACTCCTAATTAAGATTAGAATTCCTCATATCAGGAAGTATGGAATGTCAGATTTTTGGGGGATCTATTGCCATATCTAGTGTATAATCACTTAAAACTAAGAATTGTGTTTTCAGTAGCTTAGAATGAGCCCTTTATATCTCGCTGCATAGAGATCAGTATCTGCCCTGTTTGGATTATTATGTTTCTCCAATAGCCAAGGACAAGGCCCTCCCTAGCCCCCCCCCCCTAATTGGATTAGGCAAAGGGCATTCAGTTGATTGCAATGTACAACTACACCATGTGATTTTTTAAAGAAAAAGTTAAAGGTACAAAAACACATTGCAATAGGAAATACAGAACACTATTTGAATATCAGTCGTTAAATAATTTATTTTTGGTTTCATAACCTCAGCTGATGGCGGTTAATCAGTCAGAGCAAAATAATGAAGGAATTGTTTTAAACTCTCATTTTGAAATTGTGGTCCTCACTAAACACATTGTGTGACTTCACTGCTCCAACATATTTTCAAGTGGTCAATATGTGCATGTGCAGACGCATGTTAATATCAGGCGTGAACAGGGCCATAGTGGGAACAATGGAGTAGTTTAAAAGGAATGAAACAGGCCTTATTTTTTTGTTTTTCATGGCAGCATCTCCCCACTGAGGTCAGCAGACTGCGCCTGCCTTGTCCACATACCGAGAATAAACCCACGCCTGGGTTCACCTCTATCTTAGTAATGTTTCACAATATTTTATTCTAACTGACTCACTGAATTCATGGGCACTAAAACTAAAAAATAGCTGGTATTTTATGAGTGTGAACCCATTAGTCACCCAGCACTGTACGAGTGCAATTAACATAATAGTGACATAATGGATGTCCAATATCAATTAGGACTCCTGACATTTATCATCTGATGTAACAGACATTTATCTGCTACGAAGAGGTTGCTTTGTGTCTCCTAAATAAGAATGGATAAAATGTGAATGTTAAACCTTTTATAGAGCATAATCACTCGAGCTGCATTTAACAGTTTCAACTCCTCAATGACTTTTTCTCATCTAAATGTGTACCTGACAAATGTTTCTTGAAGAGAGTTAGGAGCCTGTGACAGCAGTGTGAGTTTTCAATGAGACCGAAGGACCTACACCTCCATTATTTTCACATTTATATCCCATTTCTATCACATGAGTGCTTTCTGAGCCAAAGCCGCGGCCGCACGAAAGTATCTCAATTTCAATCACTTGACGCTTTATTCCAAATCCCGGTCCACCAGGACACGCTGCCGTTCCTCATGCAAATCACAAACTGACGTCTTCTGAAATGGGCTCCACAATTACTGTGCGTCAAAAAAAAAAAGTTTCACAGATTTACTGTGACTAAATTATGAAGAAAGGTTTTGACCATTACAGCTTTTGCTGTGATGTGATCATGACCAATGAAAACACAATAATATGAGACAATATTTTGAATAAAATTTCACAAACACAGAGAGGAGGTTAAACTGTGGACATGCACTTCATATGACGTATTAAACTCTGTAATCTCAAACTGTGAAGATGGAGGAGATTAAGCAGTGCTTACTGCAGTGGAAAGCTTATCGTCACCAGTTTGCACTACATGATGACAGCTGAGTGGTGGTACTTAAGTACACTTCCTTCACAAAACCTCTAGATTATGCTATTCATTTGAAGTAAAATTATGGTATTTAGAACAAATGCCTGTGGGATGCTATTCGATTTATTATATTAAATATATATATTTTTGTTTTTGTAGGAATGATGATGCAGATTTAAATGTCTTTTGCTGGTAATCAGTAGAGTGTGTTTGGCTACAGGTTCATCCATAAAAGCAATGTAATTGTAACTCCCTTAACAATGTGTCATTGTATTTATCAAACTTGTTATGAAATGCAACCATTTCACTTTCTAAGATTATAAAATGGCACAGATTCATCACAATCATTTGCATTTGTATGGAAGTTTGGACGATTTTGTTTGTCTGTTCAAATATTTCTTATACATGTGGTTCATGAAAAACAGGGGTTTCATCATAACAGCACTTTACCGTTGGCATTGTCTGAAACATCTTGCTGGGTATTTCCTATTTCTTTAAAATAAAAAAGAGTCGGAAGAGGGATATTTAATTCCACAGAGGCCTTCATGGAGAAGAAAAATAGATTTGCACCAGAGGGATATCATCACTGTGGATTAATCAAGCATCCAAATTGGCTCTCAAAAGACTCTACATTCAGGTTTACTTTGAAAGAGTGCTAAAAAACAAAATTAATTCTCTGTTGCATGTGTCATCCTTTTCCATGGGCCAACAACGGCAGCAGTCGTTTTACATCCACAATGGATCTTAATAGATAGCATGTCAAGGCTGGCCCCCTGATGCTCAGTGAGGACAGAATCATAATACACAAGAATGATTGTGTATACTTCATAGCTGTGCATCTGAATCATGCTCAGCCTGAAGACTAGTCATTAAGTTTCTGTGGTATTGAAAATGTCACACTACCACCCGAGGGTGTGACCATAACAACTACTCAAACAGCATGAGGCTGATAACTAGATCTATATATCTTCAATTATTGGCTCGATAAGGAATAAATGATGAATTATCACCTAATTTATTCCAGTATACTATTTTTTGGTGATTTCAATGTAGAGTGAAAAAATATTTTTTGTCTAAGATCAATCAGAGGAATTTCCTATCCAGCTCCAGAGACTTCTGGATACCTCTACACGTATCAGTATTTTTGCAGTTTTTGTGCTAAGCAATGCTAACCATCTGCTGGCCATAGCGCTTCATTTAATATGTAGTGATGAGAGTTGAGAGTACCCTGGCTTTCTCCTTGACACATGGGCAGGAAAGGAAATAGATGCTTATGGCACATTGTTTGAAGTATGATTGTGAGTCCTCGAGTGGGATTAAATTAATTTAAATAAATCATACCGTTTAAATCCTCCACTTGGTCAAGTGAACTCGACATATTTACTTGACACTTGACTTGAGACATGTCAACCATTTTTTGTGGAATTGACTGCAAATGGT